ATAACTTTTTAACTTTTTTTTTTTTTAATAATTTTATGTTTATATATGTATTTACTGCTTTTGTAATCAGTTGCGCAAAAACTGAGAGTTGTTCCGAAAAAATTTTCTATTTGCTAAAAATACCACAGGAATGTTTACACAGCCGGCAACTCGAGGCTATTTATATTAATTGCGTTGAAAATTTGTTTAAAAAAAAAAATGTCACAAATGTACGTATGTACATACATATGTATGTACATATATATCCATATCTGTAGAGTTTGCCTTGCAAGCTCATGCGGTTTTTAATATACAATATCAATTATTTTCTGCTGATAAAAATTGTAAAAATACACGAGCCGAGATAAAAAGCAAAACTCTTACACTTCGAGTTGTGATTAAATTGAAATTAAATTTATAGTGCGTTTAGTAGCAGATAAAAACTGTGTCGGTATTCACTCTGTAACATAACTGTACATACATATGTGTTATATGCAAATAAAAAACAAAAAAGAAATATATATTTTTTACAAAGAAAAATAAATTGCTGCCTATCAATTTGTTTTTATCTTGAGTAAATATATGCACAGCTACTAAGTATATAGATTTATGTGTATATAAAGTTCAATTAAATGTTCGAAATAAGCGCACGAGCCAGCAGAAAAGCGTAGAAACCGGCAAAGTGCGTCAGTAGGAGCAAAACGACGCAAAGTTTCCATTTGTATTTTTATTTCATCTCTGTAATTTAATTTGGCAATAAACATTTATTTTTATTTTTGCATCGCTTATAAATGTATGCATGTATGTATTTAGCTTTTTTTCCGTTTTGCACTACTAAGTATTTCAATTGCGTATAAGTTCACGTTGTTTTGTTCAACAAAAAATGTGAATGAGGCGAAATTCATTAAAATTCACTTGGGTTTCTTGTGTAGACAGCGCCAAGAGCGTGCCTTATAACAAACACCCACCCACCCCGCAGACACATAAAACACACATGAAAATTTGTGCAAAATTGCAGACGTGTATTTCAAGTAAACTGAACATTCCATCAATCAATTAATGCGTTCTATTCAGTTCAATATACATACATAAACATATATTTTGTTGTGAGTAAATTAATTTATTTGTGAAAATCGATAATATCTACAACTGTTTTAATTTATAAATAATATGTTAGTTACATTTTTTTCTTGACTGTTTCAGACGTAACAACGAGTAAAAAATTATCAAATAAAGTGATACATTTTTTGTTTTATAAAAAATTTTAAATATAGTTTATTGGTCAAAATAGCCCCTAAATGTAGGCAATCTTCTATATTGCAACGAAAGTAAGATGCTATAGCCTACATTTATGCGCATTGTCTAGTAAGGTAACCTGTTTTAAGTGCCTACGCAAATGTTATTGATTAAGTTTAACAAAATTGATTGGTACAACAACATTCATAATTGTTTGTAGAACATTTTTTTTAAGTTTCAAAATAGTACTGGTTCTATTAAAACTTGTATTTTATTACATTTTAAAAAACTTGTGACAAAAATTTAAATTTTCATTTGTAAAATGTGAAATTGTTAAAACCGTGAAAAATATAATAGAAAAAAACATGAATTGAAAATAAAAAATAAGTGGCTTTTTAAAAATCAAAAAATGTCTAAAAAAATCGTTTTTTTTTTCATGTCATATTTACACAATACTTTTTTCTTAAGCCATTTTTACTAGATTAAATTTAAAAAACAAAATTTGTTCAATATTTTTTTTTTCATTAACACTGTTACACAAGTATTAAGTAATTTTCCAAAACAATATTAGTAATATCATAGTTATGTAAAGTATTTTGCTTATCGACAATTTCGTGAATTCCCAGGCGGCAGAAAATGTGAAATGAAAACGAGTTTTTTGTTCTTAGAGAATGTATGAATAGAAGTGCAGTAAATGAAGAGAAAAAATTCAGCAGAATATCAGAAAAATCTACGCTAACAAATGAAAACACTAATACATATGAAAAAGAAAAAAAAAAAAAACGCTTTACATTATTTAAAATTTTAAATAATTTAATAAAAGATTGTTGGGATACCGATTTTCAAATAAATACATTTTTTATGATATTTTGTGTATGCTTTGTTTTATAAACTAATTTTTAAATATAATTTATGCACTGAAATACTGCATGGAAAGTGAAAAGTTCGCATATTGCACCGAAGTAATGCACACAAACCGAAGATAAAATGAACAAAACCATGTCGTAATTTCATTTTCAGCTAAACAAACTTGTATACTGCGCCGTGGCTTGGCTTGTCTGCACACAAAATTCCTTGTCGATCATTTGCCTTCCTAGAAAGTCTGCGCATTTTAGTTACAAGTGAAACTGCACATATTTTATTGTTGTAAATGTGCTATACATGAGTTTTCTACTAAATTTCAAACCACCCCCCTGGTCCGCCCTCATAGTTGACTCGTAATGCATTACAACAAACAAATGTATCTAGACATATGTATGCATGTACATATGTATACTTTTAGCTATAAGATATTCTTGTTTTGATTACACGGACTTCTGCGTAAACAAACGTACATGTATTTAAGTTTAAATTAGTTTAAAGCTGGGAAAAAGTACTATAATTCAATTAAACACATTCTTAATAAATTACCTATAAATATTTTTTTTTATTTTTATTTTTTGTTTTGCAGGCGGCCATAATGAAATCACACGCTATAGCAGCGAAGATGTTTCGGGCAACGAGTCCAGCGAGGCGCCGAAAATGACGGAAATCGAACGTCAGGCGGAACTTAATCGCCACAAGGAGGAAATGCAAAAGAAGCGACGCAAGAAGAAACGCACCAGTTCTTCTTTGCATTCGTCAACATTTCAAGGTGCGTTATTGTTATTATTATTGTTATAGAGATTTTCATTAATAAATTATAAAAAGTTGTTAGTGTTTTTTAATTGTTTTTATACCCTGAACAAGGTATACTAAGTCCCCACGATAGTCGGGTCTACATAACCGGAACGGACCCGGATTTTTATCTGGGCATGGACTGTCATCTCGGCAGAACTCTGCCGCTCCATCAACAACTTATTAAGTTTTCACCTTATAAAAATGTATATATGTATAAATGGCCAGTGTGAAGAACTAAATCGATTTAGACATGTTCGTCTGTCCTATATACTTACCTTACTTTTTGACATATTGATATGAAATTTTACACATATGCTTTTCTCCCTAAGAAGCAATCAAGTTATCTAAACCAAATTTGGCATAAATTGCCCTTCAAGGCAACAGTAAAAGCTTCAAAGAAATAATTCAATTCGGACCACTATAGCATAATTCTGTCATACAAACTGATCGATCAAAATCAAGTCATAGTATATGGAGTCATTTGTGTACGTGAATAGTATCATAACTTAGGGAGGTGCACCCGGAGTTAACGTTTTCTCCTTTTTTTAATTTTATTTTTTAACCCACAAAGTCAAAAAATCTCTTTCGGGTAATGATGGGTTAATTTTTCGCCTTTCACCAGCTGTTGTCTATTAGCTGACGTTTAAAATGTCAGCAACATTTAAATACAATACCCTTAAATTGAATTCGTCTATACTTAAGCGCTGACGGCATAGATTTTTTGCTATGTTCACAGACTCATTTTAGATTAAAAATTAATAATTCAAAATAAAATGCGCAGCAGCACACCATTTCCATGGCATTCACTGCGTTTTTCTTACTCACCACGTCCCTAGCAAATCTCTATATCATGTGTAGTTATGTATGTTTATACCGGTCGGTGCTTTACACACAATATTTCCGAAATATGTATGCGAGGCTAAAAATAATTTCAAATATAAAACACACAAACTAAAAAACAAGAATAAAAAGTAGAGACATTGTCAGCTTTTGTTTTATTTAGAGGTGTGCGTGCCTCGGTGAAAATGGCACAAGGCGAATGCATGCGTAATTCGGGCGTTATGTATACAAAAGAAAGATTATTGGAAAAATCAAAACAAAAGCACAAAAACACGCAAAATAATTCAATCATTGCACTGCCACGTGCATAAATTTGCTGTTTTTTCTTTTCTTTTGCTTTTCCTTTTATTTTTAATTTGTTATTGTATTTGCTCAATAAGCGCCAATGGTTTATGCAAGTATACGCATTGTTTACACTTTAAACTCTCTAGCCGGCTATAATTTCTTATACCAAGCAAATATATAAACATATTTTCATGCGTCCGCAGGAAAACGTAGAAGCTTAATGCGCCTTGAGGGGATGGTTGATCACGTTGTCGTGTCGGCAACGCAAGTTGTGTTACGTGTGGGTCGGCAGGCACTTCGTCAGTTTGTCAGCCCAACGCAGCTAAATCTGTAGATCAACCTTATTCACTTATTTATTTATGTAATTAGACAGACAGTCATACATCAGCGTTCCTCTGCAGTTTTATACAATCGAAGCTTTATATATGTACATATGTATATCAGCACATGGTGCGCACCTTGAAGTTTATTTATGCTTAAATGTGTTGTGTGCTTTGTTCATTTTGCTTACAGAATTGTATAAGCTGACGGGCGAAATCCTTGGCGAAGGCGCTTACGCCTCTGTACAAACATGCGTGAACATCTACACTGATTTGGAGTATGCCGTAAAGGTTATCGATAAAATACCGGGACATGCGCGTGCGCGTGTTTTTCGCGAAGTGGAGACATTCCATCATTGTCAGGGACATCCGGGCATTTTACAATTAATTGAATTCTTCGAAGATGATGAAAAGTTTTATTTGGTTTTTGAAAAGGTATGCATAAATAGCAAGCAACAACACCGTTTTGTATTACTTTGAAACTTCAATTTACACACAAATATGATTTGCAGATTAATGGCGGCCCCCTTTTGAGGCGCATTCAGGAGCAGATTTGTTTCTCAGAACACGAGGCAGCGCAGATTATCAAGGAAATTGCATCCGGTTTGGATTTTCTGCACAAGAAAGGCATTGCACATCGTGATCTGAAGCCGGAAAATATTTTATGTGTCGATCCGGACAAATTGTGTCCGATTAAGATATGCGATTTCGATTTAGGATCGGGCATTAAATTCACCACAGACGTTTCATCGCCATCGGCAACCCCACAACTTCTAACACCAGTGAGTAGCCAGTCAGACAATTTGTATAAGTATTCGCTTTAAATAATAATAAAAATTAAATGAAAAAATAATAAAAAATTTCAACTGTTTCTCTTGCAGGTCGGCAGCGCTGAATTTATGGCGCCCGAAGTTGTTGATCTATTCGTTGGCGAGGCAAATTATTATGATAAGCGTTGTGACCTGTGGTCACTTGGTGTTATCGCATATATTCTGTTGTGTGGCTATCCACCATTTTCGGGCAATTGTGAAGAGGATTGCGGCTGGAATCGCGGCGAGAATTGTCGCACCTGTCAGGAGTTGCTCTTCGAGTCCATACAAGAAGGTATGTTATTAAAGATGTGTTTTTGAAATAAATATATAAATAAAAAATATTATTAAAAAATTAGTAAAAAAAAAAGGAGAGTAAAAATTGTATTTGCAAACGTATTTACAAAGTTCTCTTCTTCTTTTTAAGGACGATTTTCTTTTCCCGAGGCTGAATGGGAGGATGTAAGCGAGGAGGCCAAAGATTTAATACGTGGTCTACTTGTCAAGGAAGCGCCAAAGCGTCTAAGTGCCGAAGCAGTACTAAACCATCCGTGGATCAAGTTTTCGGAGGAAGAGTGTCCGAATGATATTAAGAAAATGGAGAATCGGCGAAAGGCGCTGCGTACACCGGGCAATATAAGGCGGTAAGTTGCGCAATAAAAANAAAAAAAAAAAAAAAAAAAAAAAAAAAAAAAAAACACTTTCAAAAAGCTTCACCTCAGCTTATGAATTGTTAATTTTTGTGCTAAATTAATAATATATACTCTCAACTCCTTTTTTTTCCTTAGAAATCAATCAGCGCGCGAGATATCCCGATTCGCCGAGTCGGCAATGGCTGTGAAACGTGTGATACTACAACACTTTTCCATGCGTTATGACTACATGAAAGAGCGCCCGAACATCTATCAGCCGTCGCAAATGCAACTGGACGCCCAGAATGGCGGCACCGGCGCGGAGAGCAACAACAGTCCACCAATATTTATAAAGCCACCACCGCCACGTAGTCGCTCCATGAATAATACGCTGAGCATCAGCAATAATCGTTCCATCTATGGCGCTCGCAATAGCAATCTGTATGCCACACGCAATTCGAGTCGTTTCGGCAACAGCATTAATGGCGGCAAAGCGTCTAGCATCTACCAATCGGGTGCACCATCATTTAAAACACTTAACGTACACGAAGAGGACGACGACGATGAGGAGGCGCTGGAAGCATTTGGACGGCTCGATGAAGATGAAGAGTGGGCACATGTGGGAGAACATCAGACCGGATACTTTTCTGCCGCCAATGAAGAAGATTTAAAAGCGGAAGTGGAAGCCAGACGTAGGCAAATGGGGAATAATGCTGCAGATGAGAGTGACCACGAGGATTATCCACATCTTTGGCGTGACATGGATAATGAGGATGAGGAGGAGGAGTGTGACTTAGGTGGTGAGGTGAGAGAAACCAGCACAAATAGGCCATATGAACAGGATGGCGAGTGCAGTGATAATAATACGCCCCATGACTATGACGATTACACTAGACGTCCAAAATACTATCTTGATGATAATAACGAAGATAAAGAGATAGAGCTCAAAGTGGACGAAGAGTTGGAGGAGAAGAATCGTTATCGTCATGGTGATTACGGTGATAATGCTATTACTAGTGATGCGGAGGATAGTTCCTGTGTTAGGGGTGATGACAAACGCAGTAAGACAACATTACTACAGGGTGCCATGCAGATTAAGGAGGGAGAGAGATCAGCCGGAGCTGAAACTGCTCTCGAGTTAAGTTTTAATAGATTACCTAATAATGAGAGTAAGGTTAATGATGAGAACGTGGAGAACGTAGAGTGGAAGAGGAGGGGCGTTGAACAGGAGCGAATGTTTGAAGTTAATGATTATGTTAATGTTGATCATAATAAGGTTAAGGTTAATGATGAACTTGAAGAAAAAGTTGCAGATGAGGCAAATAATTCGTTTGCAAGAGCAGAAATTAATGAACATGTTTTCACGGTAGAGGAGAAAGAAAACATCGAAAAGCAAAATAAACAAGAGCAAATAGATTTTGCTAACGAAACGAAATTGAATTTCAATGAAAATTCAAAAACAAATTTCAAAACTTATTATAACATCCAAGATAATAATATTGAAGCTAAGAAGAATGCTGATAATGAAAATGCTAATAACTGTATGGTTAATCGTAGCAGCAGCCGCAGCAACAACAACAACAGCAGCGACGCAAGCGGCAACAAAGCGAATGAATTGTTGCTGGACGCTGGACAAAACCAACTTCCAATAAGTGATATTAATGATGTAACAATCAATAATTCAAATACCACAACAATTGCAGTTAATGCAACCAAAACAACTCACACCACCAACGACAACAACAATAGTAATGTTTCGATTATAGAAACAAAAGCCAAAACAAATATTGCAAACAAAAACATAATCGATGCAGATAATGTTACAATAACAACAAAAGAAAATGCTAAATTATTGGCTAGTATTAGTGATTTGAAAGAAACGCTACCTGAACTTAATGAGACTGCAAACATTGTTGTCGCCACGCCATTAAACGGAGTCGCCACCAAAAAAGCAACAATCAATGGAAAAAGAGGCAAATCTGCACCGCCCGCCGGCAGCACAATCGATGAAGAGAACGGAGGAAAAGTTGACGATGGGCTGGCGACTTCCAAGAACGCGGTGACAACAATGCGAACGACTTTTGGCAATCAACAACAACAACAAACACAAAAACAGCTAAAACAGCAGCAGAAGCAGCCGCCAAAGCAAAATCAAAAGCAGCAGCAGCAGCAGCAGCAGACCCAACAACAACAACACCAATATCAGCAACAACAACAATCACAAAATCAAAAACAACAAACATTGATAAAATCAAAGCGTTCGCCGCGCGCAAACAAACCACAGCGTAATGTCTGTTTTGCGCTGGGCAACACCGTCGGTCACCATGTTGGCGGCGTTGATGACGACTACGATGCATATCAGAACAACAATTATGACGCCGAGCTGGAGGATGATGCCGACGAGGATGATGTCACTTACGGCAGACCACGTTCGCACAGCAACAACATCAATGCAACTGGTTATGCACGTCGTCAGCAACAATACAACAACAATCATCGACGCTACTCACAACCAACATCCGGCAGCAACAAGCAGCAGCAACAACATTCGTCCGGACAAAAAGCCGAAAATTGGCGCAACCGCGATGGTATTCTAATAAATAGCAACAATACCGGCAACGGCAACGGAGACACATCGAACAACAGCTCCGGCTTAAGTGCCACGGTAGCAGCAAATAATTACCGCAATAAGTATCGCTCACAAGGTGGCGTCAATTCGCCTGGCTGGAATGTGGGCGGCGGCGGTCAACGCAATGGCGGCCACTACTACAACGCACGCTCTGGCGGTGGCAATTACGGTCATGTGGGCGTAAGTGGCGCCTCGCCACCATCCGATGACAGCGGCAGCGGTTCATCAGGTGCCATACACAACTGGCGTAACGATTGCATCTACACGGGCGCACGTAATTGTGGCATGCAACAACGACGCAGCTACCAACATCCTACACAGCTGCGCTATTCGCCACCCACACACGATGGCCACGGCGGCAGCATTATGCGCGCACAATTCAGCCGAAACAATCAACAACAGCCGCGCATCGGTTCAGGACGTTTCACACATTCACCAACCGGCAGTATGTATGTGCCGCAGTCGCGCGGCAGTGCCGTCAGCGGCATATACCAAAGCGGCAATGGTTTTGGTTTGGGAGGTGGGGGCGTCGGCGTCGGCAGTGGTTCACCACCATCACCTGGTGAGCTGGGCATTGGACTCTCACCGCCGAGCGAGAGTTTATTAATGCAGCGACGTATGCATGTAGTAGCAGGCGCTGGGCAGCATCGCAGTAATGACTTCGGTGTGGGCGATTTCTGCCAATCGGCAACAGCTAGCGGTTAATAAGCGAAAAGTTTACAACATTCACATCCATCAAAACATACACACACACATATATATTTTACACACAAAAGAAAACTTCATTCAAACAAAGTGGGACACGAAACGCTCGTTTCACGAACGTTTTGTTGTTCTTAAAACGAAACCAACTCGATTTCATTTATGTATACTTATTCAAAAATCTAAACACTATGTAACTGTAGGTGTGTGTGTGTGAGCGCAACAAGCGTTTTTGTTAACGTGGGCAACTAGTATTTTGTACTGCTTGATTGTAAATTCCCTACTTTCTATAGTGTTGTCCCTACTACTTTTAAAAACTGTAACACCACGTACCCTTTTTGCGCTCACACATGCACCCTCACCAAAATTCTGAACCTCTTCGGTTCAAGTAACACCTACGTATTTCAAAATCTACGAAAAAAAAAACTTATTTTTGTACTACTCGTAATAATTTAATCCTCTCCTTTGTGTAACGGTTTGCCTGATTGTTGAGCGTGTTATACTGTAAAGCACGCTTGCCATGCACTTCGTTTATAGTTTAAGCGTAGCCTTGCGTAAAAGGCAACGAAAGCTCTAGGCATGCGTCAATTCCAAATTAGATGAATTTAGTTGCGATATTTTGCCAATAGTTAAAACTTAATTTTTCCCGATTTTAATTATTTACAATTATTTTAAATCACTTTCTTGAATATTTTTTTTTTCCACAAACATAGTATCTCTTATCTGTCGCGCTCAACATCATGCTTTCCGAAATTCCAAATACACATAATTTAGTTGTAATTACTTCATTAATACTATTAGCTCAAAATTTTGTCTTATTTTCTGACAGAAATGTTTATTTTCCAATGTGTTTAATTTTTTTTTTATATATACCTTATACTATTTCAAAGACTTTTCGTAACGACTGTTAAATGTAAACAACAAAAAGAAACGCAAACACCAGAACAAACACAAAAGAAGCAAAACACACATGTCAAGTTTGTTGTAAGATGATTTAAAAATGTTGATGTTAAATATGGCTGTTACGATGGAAAAACAATGGCTTTTTGGCTCGCTTATGTAATGTGTATTATGAACGAAAATGAAAATATACAAAATAAATGTTCATATGTACGAACACCACACACTCAACACATCTGCCACTGTGCACACTTACTTTTCTTACATAATACACATACACAAAACACACACACGTACATAACCAAAACGCGGAAAAAACCAAGCAAAAACAATTTTTTTGGTATGACAGTGAAAAAGCGAAGAAAAAACACACACATCGTACAATCCAATAAGTCGTTCACTTTTTTTTATAAAAAAAGATATGATAATTCATATAATTTTTAATAATTATAAAACAAAAACTTTTTTGCATAAAACAAAACCATAAAAAAAACAACACTGAGTTTGATTCTTTTATATTTACTGTTAACTTTACTCTTGTTGCGTAACAGAAAGTGGAGACTTGCGAAGAGCAAAAATTGCAAATTACAGTTTGTTGGCATTAATAGCAAGCAGCAACTGCAACTATAATATACACCAATTCTAACTCACTGCAATTTTTGCGTTTGCATATTAAAAAATATATGTAAGTTCGTTCTTAAATTTATTAAAAAAAAAACAATGAAATTGGAAAAAAAAGAAAAAACTATTTGTAACTTCCCGTCCCAGACGTGTAGGCATTGAAGGTTTAAGTAAAAATGAAACAAAAACCAGGTTGAGCGCAAAATTTTCATTAACAATTTGCGTTGTGCCAAGAGTTGAGCGCCTAATCGTACAATTATTTACAGTACAAAGTGTCAAATGCTAATTTTGAGGTTAAAAAATAGCTGAAACTGCACTATTCTTCATTGTAAGTTGTTTCGAACAGCTAGCTACTAGATTTCAGTGTCAATGATAAGCTACTTTCGAAAAATTTTAAGTAATGCAGAAAACTCGCTGACTCGGCGAAACCATATAAAACCGGCGGGTTTGAGTTATAAAAATAAATGCTTTAACGCTATTGATAATGCTAAGTGAGATTTTTTGCGATTTTCGGAAAAAAATTTACGGTTTATTTGCACAATTTCGCTGAATTAAAGAAAATAATTTTCAAAAAATTTCTGCTTATATACTGATAATAATTGAAATTGATACAATTTTTGATTCTCTAAAAATGCTTAACATAGTTTTGGGAGCGGTTTACTTCGAAAGCACCAGTTACAGTTATGTTTCTTAAGCACTTTACGTAAGTTATTCCAGCTAATAGCGGGCTTTAGAATACTCAAGCATGTGGCCTGTGTGAGACGCTATTATTTCGTAGAAATATTTAAATAAACAGCATTTTAGGCGTTTGAACCGCGCTAGTATAGTATATTCTGCAACAACTGTTTAGTCTTGCTTTGTGATATACTGTAAAGAATGTGCGCTTTAAAAACTAATTTGGTTGAACAAATAATTTTTTAAATCTTAAATTTTGATTTTATAAGAAATTCTATATTTTTTCTTAAGCGCACTGTGAATGGTTTTGTAATTATAAAGAGGAATTGCGCTTAGTTCGACGTGCAGGAAACATATATAAATAATGTAGTAAGCTTTTAGGCGCTCAAATTCTTATTATATTAAATTTTTTAACAGTTTATTGCCTACTCTTAGGCGCTCTCATATAATATGTAACGGAAACTCGCCGCCTACTTGTATTTGTTATTCCACTCGGCTATTCGCAGCGATCTCAAAGAGCGCAAAACGTAATAACGGCAGTTTGTGTTTAGTTGGCATAAAAGGTTAATATTTATATTATAGCAGCCTACTTAGCAGATAAAACTGCAAATGTTATAAGTAATAAAAATTGGTTAAAAATTAAAGAAAAATAAAAATGCACAACCATTGTTTTATATGAGAAAAGCGTAGAAAAATTTGTATTGCGCTCAATTTTTGATGCCAAAGTTGTTGTATTTGAATCATGAGCGAACAGAAGAACGGGGTAAGGCAGCAAGCTGTGAACGCGCACACAGCCACCCACAAAAGAATGTGGCTTGAAAGCGAATGAACCCACAACCCTTTCGGAGCTTGCGCCTGCCTTGTTTTTTCTTATTGAAAAATATTAAATTTATTTTATAAATGTATTAGTCTTATACTCTTACACATTTTCTGTTACGAAAAAAAAAAACAAAAAAATGTTGAATATTTCGAAATTTCGAAAGCAAATATTATGCAAAGAAAAAGTGCAAAAAAACGAAGCGATGTTGCTACATATTGTAGTAAAGCGCGCGAGAAAATTCCATTTAAGCATAAATCAACAACATACATACATACATACATAACTAACAACGCGCATATACATACATTTATACGACATACATACATACATACATAACAAAAACACGAACATTTATACGACATACATACACACATAACAAGAAACGGTTACTACACACCGCGCTGACACTTATCACTATTACAAAAACACATACAAAATACAAATTATAAAAGTAAAACACAAAAAAAAAAAAAAAAAAAAAAAAAAAAAAAAAAAAAAAAAAAAAAAAAAAAAAAAAAAAAAAAAACAACCAAACTCCCTCTCTCAAAACAAACATTTTTATATAAACTATATATATTTTTGCAACTCAGTGAGAAGAAGAAGTAGAAGAGAAGAGGAAGATAAAGAATAGCTGGAGATAATGACCAAACGGTAGGCGAAAGTAGTTCTAGCGAGCGTGTTAGAGGCGAGCGAATCGAAAGTTAGTATGCTAATTACATTTGATAAGAACCGAATGCTGATTGAGAGCACTGAATCTATGTACGTATGTAATAACGCTACATTATGCAACTTTGTCAAAAAAAAAAAAAAAAAACAATAATAAATTCACTTTGTTGTAAAGCGGCAAACCTTTGTGCGCAAGCGTGGTGAATTACCCGTACATGGTGTTAAGCAGCGATCAGTTAAGAGCGTGCATGAATGATATGGAAGAAAAGCAAATAAACATAACATAAAACATACATTAAAGCCCATAAAAATTATAATAAAAAGGAACTCGAGAATCAAGCAAAGCGATTAATTTGTATTTTATTGGAATTAATTTGTAAACAAATGGAAAAATGGTAAGTATACAAAATGTATGAAAATGGCAAGATTTCATATACAACAAAATTTAATCGAAATTATCTAACATGAGGCGTGGTTGAAGCAACTTCGTACTTGCTGCTGGGCTGTCCAGTTTTTGCAAGATTCGAAAGTCTGAGTTTTTGTATGTTTTTGGTTAATCTTTATAGGATTTCTTTCATTTTTAATGTCGATGTACTGCTAAGTTGTTCCAATGCGATCCAAGTGATTGACTCGTGGATCAGCCTCACTTTCTAACCTAAAAACTATTTGCTTTAAATTATTTTTCTATTGTGAGCATCAAATTAGTTTTGGGTCTTCTTTCGAAACTATGCTGCTGCTATAGGAGTATCTAAGTTTTTTTACGGCGAGAAAAGATGATAATTCGTTGGAATAAAAATTTTTGTTAGAAATTGTATTAAAGAATCATAAGCTCATTTAACTAAATTGACAACATAAAAAGGAAATTTCCGACTAGTCCAAGCTAACCCTCTGGAATAGCTAACAGAATGCCGAAATGTCTTTAATCACCGTAAATGAAGTTCTTGAACTGTTAATTTTTCTGTTTAATCTGTTATACAATTTCGACGCGCAGCCAGTTTCTTCTCCACCTGATCTTTCCAACGGAGTGGAGGTCTACACTGCGTATGATTAATAAACGAGTTGATTTTTTAAGTTTTTTTTTCTGTTCACCACACAGTTTTGTTGGAGTATGAAACTTACAAAAAATTCTGCTCGAAGATATTTTCCACACAATGATCTACGGTCGAAATAATTAAAAAATTTTCAAAAATGGCGTTTAAAAAAAATTAAATTTTAACCAAATAATCGTTGTTTAGGTTTTGAAACAAAAAAATGTTAATGATTGGATCAATCGTCTTCTGAAGCATATTTAAAAAAAATGTGTTGAGAAAAACTCGTTTAAAGACGGCGCACTTAGCCTAGCTAGATTCGAAGGAGAAGAAGAAGGAAGAAGTTCTCAAGGCTGTATCTGAGAAACTATTACTCGGATCAACTTGAAAATTCACGTCAATATTATAGAGGTGTTATAAAATTTAATAAAGCAATTCGATTTTTGAAATCCATTAACCACTGAAATCACATAAAGCGTTAGCTATTCTCTCTAGTACCTCATACTTTAAGGTTTTTCTCAAATAAACGACCCAAACTAGCTCACTCCGCGTAAATTTGCTGATACAGTAACAATGTTTTGGTTCCTCGTATGCACTGATAATCCGATAATCAAATGGCCGCAATTAGTTTGTAGGCATGATATGTTATATATGTATATACCTCACCCAAATTCAGCTTCACATTTTCCTTCGCATAAATAATAAAAAGGCATTTCGTTCGATAATCCGTTTTTTTTTTTAATTCTCGTTAAACTTTATGTACATAAATGTTCGTTTAGTTATTTATCTTACATACAAGTTTAAATTAAATACTTTAATAAACAATTTGCGTGCTTTTATGCTAATTTTTTTCTTAGAAAATACTTATATTTGGTTTATAGTTGCCAGTCACATAGTTTGTTTGTATACATATACATATGTATACGAGTACAAACAATGGTTTGTAATATCACTATACGCTACAGAACAACTGCGTGTATATGCGTATATACGTATGTATGTATTTATTGCAATTATTACTTATATATAAGCATGTATGTGTATGTATGTATATTTAAATCATAAATACTACTGACTGCACGTTTTCACTTTGATTTTGCCTTAAATTGGGATTTTCGGTTTCATTAAAGCGTTACGCCTGATTGGCTACTAACTGAATACCACATGGCACGTTTCGTCTGTGATTTTGTGTGCGAAACCTGCCAGCATTCATTATATGATAAATTATAAAAAACATAAATTGCTAAAGTATGATAATAGAACTTTTAGTCATTGGGTATTAATCGATGTGTAATTTAATTAAAAGTATTTTGCTTGAAAAATAAGTATGCATATTCTTTTCAGTTTCCGTTTGCTTTCAAAGCAATGTTTTTGCAAAATTTTATAACAAATTCGTAAGGGAAATGTGTTTAAATTTAGCTTAGAGCTTTAATATCGATCAACTTTGTATACATTCTGTGTACATGTTATTTTACATACGAGTAATGTATATGCAGTAGGTGTGTGTTTGTGTTTGAAAATTGGAGCTTATTAAAAATATAACATAGTGCTATTTAACTAACATTTACGCTTATAATATTTACATTAGCTGCTAAAGTTCTACCATTTATGCAATTACATATTTACTTTTTACTTGCATATAATTATTTAAATATACTATTTGCTAAATTTTAATACAATTTAGTTTAGTTTGCCCTTTTTCCAATACAAATTCACTTAAACACCTACATATGCCTATGCATGTATATATAATATATATGTATATATATATATATATAGTAGAGTCTCCATTACTTCCCAAGTTGGTTTTATATTTTCAAGCGCCCCCTGAAGTTTCCGTTTTTCCATTAGCTGGAATTTTGCAAAGGAAAAAATAATTTTTTTTTACTATTCCCATATACTCGTATTTTACATGATCTTTTGCAATATATTTCTTATCACCAGACCAAATAAGCCTAAAACTTTTAAAAGTGTATATTCGAATAAAAAATATGGCGCTCTATAAAAAAGTTCTGATTAATTTTTTTCCATAAAAGCTTTCCTTTAAAAGTTATACGCAATCGAAGTTAGGCAAAAAATGTGCTGAGCATTCTTACTCGTACAAGTGCTTAATAAATTCTGTGTTGCTCATACGTCATGGTGTTTGCGCTTGCTTAGTACTGTTGTATAAAATGCTCAGTGCAGTCAATGTATAAATCTAACTGCATATAACTTTTAAATGAGTGGTTTTATGAAAAAAATCATTAAGAGCATTTTTGTAGAGCGCTAAATTTTGAACTAGAAAATCATTCTATAAAAATTGTTCTTTTGCTTGTTTGGTGCAAAACATTAAAAAATTCCAATCTTATATGTACATAAGAAAATAAATTAGATTTAAGCATGATTTAAATTGAAAATAAAGAGCTTATTTGTGTCGCATAACCTTTTTAGAGTAAAAACTGAAACTTCAGGGGGCGTGTGMAAAAAAAAAAAAAAACAACTTGTGTTATTCTGTGCACCCTAATGTATATATATATGTATTTGTTATTTGCTTGTCTGCTATGGCTCATTGTTCGACTTAGTTATTGTTGGTATGACCGTTGCTGTTGTCATTGCTGTATGTGTGTATGTTTGTTGATTGTATTGTGTTGTATTATCTTGTTGTTGTTGTGATTGTTCTTCACCGCTACTCTCGCCCTTCATATGCTCCATTTCAATGTCAGAGCAATTATCCGAATGCGAGAGTGCTGAGTCCATGGAGGTCACCGTGGTGTTAACCTCCTTGTCACTGGTGGCATGCGGTGACAGCGGCAATGGTGGCGCCAATAATGGCTTTTCAACAGCCGAACCATGATCGGCTTCAATATCGTCTTTTACTTGATTTTGTACTACGAAATTATTGCTATTGATATCCTCAATAGCTTTGCGCAGCTGCAAAGAACAAAAATTAAGAGTAAACATTATCAAAAAATGTATAAAATTGGTCAAAGAACTGTAAAGAATCGTGCAAGAGTATTTCTAAGCGGTCAAACTGTCAGCTGTATAAAAAGATACATGGTTTCATCAAGATATATCTCTATAAAACATATAAAACACTAACTTGATAATTTCAATGTGTAATTCTTTCGGGTATAAATTTATTTTGGCATCATAACTCCTAATAGTATGCTTTTAACTCACCTCTTTCAGACCCACAACACCCACTAGGCGTCCAATTTTCGTCACATAGGCATGATTTATGCCAACCATTGAGAAAAGCGAATGAACTTTGAGTATCGAGGTGCGTTCGACCAGTTGAAATGGCGATGGATCGATATTTACACTGGCCTTCTCCAGATCGATGGACTTGGACATTTCCTCCATTTCCCATTTCTTCTGATCTTCCGGCGACATATCGATCACGCGTTCACGTGGCTAAACAAAATTTTAAGATAGAAGTGACTTAAATATTTGAAAATAACTACAAATTTTTTTATTTATAAAATAAAGTATAGAGAAAATTAAACGCCGGTTTCAATTTCACATTATTTGTTGCTGTTTCCAGTACTTTTGCTTTAATCCAGTAGCAGTTATGTAACCGTTAATTATAACCGTTTACTACTACATACAGCTGTTTACTTATTACAAATTTACAAACATACACACGCATATATAGATATGTATCTGTGTAGTACACCTACCAAGGTCACCGATTTCGCCTTTTTCATACTCATTGCCTTGTTATTTGTATTTACAGTTGTGCATGTTTTAAGGATAAAAATTTATACAACGAAGTAAATGTGGCATATAGAAAAGAGAGAATATAGAAAATATATTTAAATAAATTCAGTGAGTGAAAAAGACATTTCTACTAGAGCTAATAATAAAGCACGAACACTGAAAGCACGAAGGACTATTAGTAGGCAAACGCAAGCATTAGGAAAAGGACAAGAATAATAACAAAAACAACAACGATGAAAACAAATACAAATACAACAACTGTGCAAACTTTACAAATTTTAAATATTGCCATATAAAATTTAAGAACAATATATATTTTTGCAAAAGTACAAACTGATACATATATGTATATGTACATATTATATTTGTAATACAAAATATTTCTGAATTTACAAGAGAAAAATAATTTTATACATATATTTTATTGATCTGGCCATCTGCATATGGTGTTTAGGTTGGGTGAGGTTAGTCTGGTAGAACAATGAGTCACGTATAGACCAATTTTGGTACCAGATGGAGTTCAGTTACTAGGTCTATGAAGAGTGGTCATCCTTTAGGATGCCTGCGCTTAACGCAACTTTCAACAGATTCTGTGTCCTCACCAACAATACCTTTTCAAGTGTATCATACCGTGGGGACGCTAGATGTTTACAGCGTAATATTGCCAATGCGGGGCAAATGCACAAGATGTGCTCCATTGTTTTCATAGTGCCTTGCTCTATAAATAAGGTATGTTCAGCATAATCCACGTTATTTCAAAATATACATATTTATACATATGATTTCAGAAAAAATAAACCTAAAATTATTTTACATTAGATTATAGTTTCTTCTCAACTAGATCTAGAAACTTGCTCTGTTTTGGTAACAGAAAATAATTGCAGAGTGATTAATCTGATATATGAATCCGAACATATACTAAATGCCAGAACAGTACATTGCTTCCTTTAGTATTCTCTGTTTTATAACAAATTTTTATCCAATATAGCAAGAAATTCATTTTACTCATTGCCACATTCATTACTCTTTATGGTCATACTTTGAAGACATTTCCGCTTACCTCTCCTGGAACCAGTATGAACACCAAGAAGAATGTCCACAAGTGCTTCCCTGCACTCTCTAGGTAGTTCTAAAGAAAAATACTCTCGTTCTATTAGAATAACACTATAAATAATACATAAGCTCGTAAATATTCGACCAGTCAGCTCTTTTTAGTGTTCGTAAGGAAGTTCCTGTTTTTACATGAAGATTTGGAATGTCAAAAGCGAGCTCTAAGCATTAATCAGCTTTATGTGACTGACAATTTTTCTTAAATTATATAATAGAAACATAAGGCAGAAATTTCGAGAATAATTCATAAGAAGTTAAGTAATATTCTTTAACGTCTCTTAGGTAAATTCTGTATAGCAAACTACTCTATAAAAATTTATAAAAATAAAACTCCTACCTAAAACTCAAAATCCAAAGAGCTGAGCTCTGTAACAACAACCCATATTTGTATATAATCAAACCAAATTAGGGAACAAAAAACATAAAAGAAGAGTATATTATATTTAGAAAAAAAAAAATAATACACTCAAATATTTTTGAATTATATTGAATGATTTTTTTTTTGTGAAATTTACCATTTAGCGCTAAATTTTTTGTAAAAATCTTTAGCCGCCCCTACATATACCTAAGTAAAGCAGTACTCAAAGTTAGACATTTCTTTACTTTTGGCTCATCCTTATCCGTCGTTGCATGAGTGTTATCCATGAGTGTATTCCATTTGATTGCGTTTGTTCGGTGATTGGAACAATCTGTCGTTGAGTGTGACTTTCGAAGTATGCCTTTTTTCGGCGGTGGTGGCAACATGGATTGATCCCATCTTGTATTCGCTAACTTCATTTTAACTTTGGCATGGACTGGCGATGAGCTTAGGCTTCGCGGTCGCTTATGGTTTTCGAAAGTTTCGAAAAAAAAGTTAATATTTTTTAGATGAAAAGTGATGCGCACAAGAGGTTCGTGTAAATTGTGTTTAGAATTAACATACAAATTTTAATACTACTAATAAACTCATTGCAGAAACCTCAAAGCTTTTAATATTACTTACAATGTAGTTATTTTTCTTAAACTTCTTTGATGGACCCGGAGAATTGGGCGCTAGTTGGGACTTTACGTAGAAAATACAAATTGAACTTAGAACTTAATGTGTCTACAAATCGATATTTTCTAGTTACTTACAAATCTATTGCTTTTTATGCTATCCGGTGTATCCGGAGGTGTTGGCTTGGAAGCAAATAATAAATATTTTGAAAATAATAAATAATTATGAAACTTTTGACGAAATAAATATGAATACACTATAATAAATTCTCTATATCTTTTACAAACATTTTAAACACTTTAAAAATTATTTGGAATTTTAAAAAATTAATTGGAATTTAAATTTTTATGTTCAGAAAAAACTTGTCTGATCTACCTATATATTCTGAAATCAGCATCTATACCGTAAATAAAGTCAGCCTTGGAATGTAACGTTTCTCTACTGTGGACTCAACTCAATTTCAATATTCGACAAAGGATTGTCACATCAAGCAACGCTTCAGACAGTGACAAAAAACAGCTGTTTCCACGTATTTGACAACTTTTTGGTTTTGTAGGACCAAGTTGTACCACAGAAGACATATACCTTCTTGAAAAAGAGGACATAACAGAATATTTTTGTGATTTTCGCTGTTTGTTCTACGAATTTTTCAACTAAGATGTTTGAAGGTTGATTGATCTATATTCTACAATCTTCAAGAAGCGTTTAGACTTTTATGTAAAGTTCTGGTATCGTCAAAAACAATATTCCTGCTACATTTTTTCGACACAGCTTCTCATTTTAGGTCTTATAACAATTGTACTCGGACAAATCTAAAATCTTCTCATTATATATACATATGAAGGTTTATTTTATCAATATAAGGGTTAAATTTTTACCTTATGCTCGAGAGCCGCAGACTCCGTAGTATTTTGTGCTTGCTTGTACGGAAGAAGTAAACACAAAAGAAGGCAGTGTAAGAAGACTTACCGAATTATGTATAACCAAAAAAAAAAAATCTTTCAAAAAAAAAAAATATAAGAAAAACTCGAAACAATGCACATTTCTGCCAACCAACACGAAAAACATAGCAAAAACAACACATACTGGACGCATTGGCTGAGCACAAACAAACAAATATATTAGCATAATCATTATACATACCAATTGAACCTTCTTCGAAATGCTAGGGGCACGCTGCACGAGTGGCACTTCGTTGGCGCTCACCGCCGGCGTTATGCTGGCAGCATCCGGATCCGGTTGGACATCCTGCAGTGTGTTCGATTTGCGAAAGATCGCTTCGAAGGCGGAGCGTATGCGATGCTCCGTGCCAGTGATGGTGGTATAGGGCGTAATGTTCGGGCTGTGCGGTGAGGTAGGTGCATAGGTTTTTAGATTAAATGAGTTTGTCTTTTTCAAAATGGATTTGCGTGGTCCCACGTTGTTAGTGAATGACTCCTGACGTTGTTTGGGCGGCAGCATTTCATCGTTGGCGATTTGTCGTAGACTGAGTATATCGGGTGCGGGCAGTACTTCGAAACGTGACGGACGACGTACTCTTAATTCGGCCTCCTGCTTTTTCTTCTCTTCTTCGCGCGCGCTAAAATATGAGATATTACAGTTAAATGCTTGGATGTGTCGCTAAACGTATTCAACTGCTTTACTTACCGCTCTTCTGCCTCTTTTTGCCACTTTTGTGCCACCTCCATGCGTTTCTCGCGTCCGATATGCTTCTCGATCATTTTGATCAATTCATAACGTTGCACAGAGCCGAGCAGTATCATGTTCTCGTGACTATCGACCAGCGGTAGAGATCGTAGCGTTTTGTTCGCCTTCAGCACCTCCTTGAGTTTTTGATACGAAATGCCATGCCAGATGTATTTCACATCTCGTACCATAAAATCCTCCACATAAATGCTGTACATCGCCGAACTGGACGGCAGCAAATCGGGCAGATACGGCAGCTTCTTAATCAATATAATACTGTCGTACATGGACGGTTGTAGAAGGGCTGCAATGGCGTTCGCTATTAACACTGCGATCATCACCGGTACAACGTGCGTTATCTGGCCGGTCATCTCGAAAATGATTACCGCTACCGAAACGGTATGCGTCACGGCGCCGGAAAATGCCGCCGCACCAACAACTGCGTAACCGCCGGGTATGATGGGCGATAGGCGACCGCCGTAGCGCACGCCGTTCGGGAACCACAAATGCATGCTCTCACCAATCAGACGACCCAAACTGGCGCCGATCTTAAATACGGGTATGAAAATACCGGAAGGCACTGGTATGGTTGAGGCTACAATGGAAATGAAAAACTATTTCCAAGCGAGAGAGAAGAGAGACAGAAAGAAAGCGGGAGAAAGAGAGAGAGAGCGCAAATTTAGTAATGCTGTATAAAAATTGTCGCTCACATCACTTACAGTGAACACAATGTATATGGAAAGATTGATGAATATGTTGGTGTAACTGGTGACCCAATGCGTAACTATGGCCGCCTGTTCCACGGTGAGATCGTCACGTGACCACGTGAAATTGCTGAATAACTGTGTGACTTGTTCATGTGTGCTTAATTCGCCAGCAATAAATTGACCGGGTCCTAATGGAAATGAGAGTGTAGAGACAAGCAGCGCCAGAAAGCCCGGATAGAGGAATCGACTGTATAAATGAAAGCATTAAACATCTTTTTTTAATAATTTTATTCTATTTTATATAAATGAGATGTGTGTTATATACATACGTACTTCTTTTGCAGAAATTTATTCATCTTCTTATTCGAACGCATGAAGAGCACATAGCGGCGATGTACCCAGACGTAGGCAGCGCCACCAACACCGGACACAACGCTGCAACGTTAAAAATAATAAAAAAGTTAGAAGAACGCTAATTTTTAAATTCTCTAAGAGAAATTTATCGCTTTGTTTCTAAAGCTTCCTCAATGTTTTAGTAGAACACTTACCCCATTAGTGCAAATACGAACAACTCCTGCGGATCGAAGGGGAATTCGGTGGTGAAATTTGTGAGAAATATCGCACGTACTGTGTCCGCATTGTGGAACCAAACAGCCAACAGACGAAACACCGTTGCACCGCAGACAGCCGCAAAGAAGCCACGCCAATAATTACGCACAGCAAAATAAGTGGTCGTTACCTCGATACTAAACAGTACACCTACGAGAGCGATAGCGATACATAGTGAAAAGTAGTCGAGAGTATATTAACGCGATCTACTTACCACCGACGGGCGCGGCAAAACACGAACCCACACCGACCGCACACGCTGCGGCCAACATCTCCGAATTGCGAGATTCATTCTCATAGATGCCTTGGAATGATGTGACGAGCTTACTTAATAATTGTGCTACAATACTTGCTATGTGACAGAAAGGACCCTACGAGCGAGCTCAACCAAAACAAGCGATAAGTTATAGCATGGAGTAGAGAAAATAAATAAAGTGCGATTAGATGATTTCAATCATTTGTATGATTACTTATATGTATGATTTGAAGTATTTTTCGTAATTGAATATGTGAGTGTTATTCGCCGTCAACTACATACTCGTACTTATCGTATTATACTTTATGTATATACGTACGTAGGCACATAGTCGACATTGCTCTCCTTATAGTTGTGACAATTTTGATACTTACTTCCTTTCCTAATGGCATACCACTGCCCAAAGTTGCCGTTAAACCAACAACCTTGGCCACCAATGTCTTAAATGTGAGATACTCTTTCAGCGCAACGCCACGCAGAATCGTTTTCATTTCAGGTATACCCGAACCTAAAATTATATACACAGAGATTGTTCATTGTGAAGGGATATCGAGAGAAATGAAGAGTTAGTGAAGTCAGTAGGAAGTTGCGTTAGTATTTATTTATTTGTATTTGTAAGAATATACATATATGTATATTATTATTTTCATTAAAAATTATAATGACTTTATGAACTTTTCATAAGTTTTTTTTTGTTGAAGTATAAATCTTATGGTTTTAGGAACTTGTCAAGAGCTTCTTAAAGAGTATAAACATTAATATATACATTATTTTAAATAAAAGCCAAGTATCGTGCAGTTAAGGCAACTTCGTGTCACAGCAGTAAAAATGCTATCAATATTTTTGGTTTGGGGTGAAAGCTCAAAAATCTGAACGTAATACAAAAAAGCTTCTAAATTGGACTTAGAAAAATGTTTTGCAATTTAAGAATCTTAATTTATTTTTAAAATAGTTTAAACACAACTGATCCAATAAACTTATACATGAAGACATGATAATTTTTATTTATACTTTTAAGCTGAAATATATAGTATACTAAAATACTTGGAAAAGCTTGCTAATATCTGATAATTGTTATGAATCCTACAAACTCCCTAAGATTACCTCTCCAAAGTTGTTTGAACAATCTTATGCTGATAAGCTGTCTTCGATTCGTCAAGAGTTAGAGAGTAAAGAATTATTTCAGATATTCACACAGAGTGACAGTTCTATTCTACTTCACGGCCGATAGCCCATGATGCTAGTGCTGCGTATTTTCTTAGTTTGTATAATAATTGTATTATTATGTAAGCTTTTATAAAATAAAATAAAAAAAAAAAATATTCTACTTCAGTGTGTCTACTTCACACTATAAGATTGCTCTGCTTCACTGACTTATTTGACATTTAGTGAACAACGAATTATTAATTACAATTATTATACAATATACATATAGTATTCCATATTGTATCGGGAAGTGGAAAAAGTCTTTTCGTATTTCTAATCAAACTTTAACTTATTTTTTTATTTTTATAATGAACTTTAATGAAGCAAATATGTACCATTTTGGTCGAAAACTTTTTGCCATTTTTTCGCTAGAGTCAATATTCCATCAGTGTAAAACTTCTCCTGAAGCCAACTTTACTCCATTAAGGAAGTTCTGCATTGACCGATAGTGCAAGGTAAGGGCTATATTATGGATGCATCAAAGCTTCCTAGCTTTTGCCTAGTCATCAAAGATATGTGTGATTTGGCGTTCTCCTGATGGAAGACGAAGTCCTTTCTGTTGATCAGTTCTGGCCATTTTTTTCGATTGCTTGCTTCAATCTTATTAGTTGTTGATAGTAAAATGTAGAAACAAGCGACCAGGCTGGAGCAGCTCATAGTGGATGATTACTTTCCAATCCCACCAAACACGCCTTACCTTTTGAGGCGTCAATCCTGGCGTTGCGACTATTTGCTGAGCTTCACCACGCTTAAACGTGATCTTTTTCGCACATTATTGACGTATTTAATCCACTTTTCGTCTCCTGTACCTTTTGTTTCGGAAATGGTTCGATTTCATTTCATTTCTGCAAAGAATCGCCGATTGGTCCATTAAATTTTTCACAGACATTCATGTGGTAGCCAAACATCCATTTCCATTTGTAGCCAACTTTTTTTAAATGGTTTAAAACCGTTTGATGATGAATATTAAGTTCCTTAGCGATATTATGGTTACTTATGTCACGGTTCTGGTGAATCGTTTTCATAATTTCATCGACTTTTTCAATGATAGGTCAACCAGAGCAAGGTGCAACTTTCACATCGAAATTTCCGGAACGGAAGCTAGCGAACCATTGTTGTGCTACACGAACTGATACAGCATCGTTTCCGTAAACTTCACAAATTTTATTGGTGGCATTCTTCCCATTTTTATACAAAAATTTCAAAATACAGCGAATTTCTTCATTATTTTCATTCATTTTTGAACAGCTGTAACTTTTTTTACGAAATGACTTTTTCGACTACGCAATATATTAGAGCAATTCTGAGAAACTTTCTTTGTACTATATATTAAAAAAAATTAATATTTATTATCAAAGAGGATCGCTAATAAAATAAATTTGCCAAAACTTTATTCAACAAGTATAATGATACTTTCTCAAGCCCTCATAGTATATCATCGATTAAGTAAGGATAAAGCTTCGAAACTTTTCCATTAAAGGAAATAGTTTGAATTCGATATGCTAAAGCAGTCCGCTGTTGACAACCACAACCGAGCCTCCGAATATATTTTAGACCTAAAAAATCTTTATACTAAGAGAAGACCGAAAAATAATTTTTGAAATTGTTGTCGAAGCAATGACAGCAATTACTTTAATATTTACATTTACAAAGTAACAACAACACGCAAATGAAGATGTTAAACTCGCAACGGACGTGCAAATTATTTATGCACATTGCATTTCATAGATGTCTGTAYGTATGTATGCATGCGATGCTAAATATAGGTGTTGTATATAGCTTGACCCATAAGTGGCACAAATAAATGTGCAAATTGTGAGCGCAATAAACATATTCATCATTAATTTTTTATATATTTTTTGCTTGCACTCTGGCAATACGCCAGTGTAACGTGCGGAGGGAAATATACAAAAATACTTGCTCATATGCACAAGTAAATTAAATTGTGCAAATTTGCGTATAAATTAAACAAAAATTAACAAACATTTCTCTACAAAATTCTATTTCAAAACTGATATTTAAGTGGTTAAGAGTAACAATGTAAGTAACATTAATATCTATTATATAAGTCTATTTATTTCATTTATAACAAAAAAATTATCATATATATAGAGAATTATAAATTAATAACATTCAATTGCAATTGTTTAAATTTATTAATTATTATTTCTACCATTTTGTTAAAAAAAAATCCTTCACAGAATATGTAGCCCTTGAAAATAATTTTTGTACGCTTACTTCTGTTAGTTACACCATTGAAGTAAAGTAAGTAAGTACGAAAATCTAACAAATAAATCTTAATGTGAAATTATATAATGCGTAAAGGCGTGAAAAGGAGATATAGGTAAATTAAACATGCAAAAAGTCAGCGCTACCTGCCTACAGTTATTTATCACCATACAGTTAATAGCTATCTAATTATGAACTAACGAATATTTACTTTACTTCAATGAGACGCATAACAAACAACAGATGCAACAAAATATTATATGTAAAAAATTAAGAAAAACAAACAAGATTTTTTGCACTATTTCTTTTAGACAATAAATACTATATTTATTGAAGTTGGATAAAATTTTAAAAGCACTACACTAACTCGATTACGATTATTATAAAATACATATTATAAATAATGCAAAGTAAAAACAAAAAAGCGTTTTAAAATTAATAAAAAATAAAATAAAATTAAATATAATACAATAAAATAAAAATATATAAAGCAGAATAAAACTAAAAAAATATGATTTAAAATAGAAAAAAAATATTATAAAAGTAATAAAAAAATAATATAAATTAAAATAAATGACGTTAAATATAATAGAATAAAAAATAAAATAAACGAAAATAAAACAAAATAACACTGTGGGCAAAACATAGTAGGACTTTTTAATTTAAATTTCTCGCGAAAACGCATTTGTCGAAATATTATTTTTTTACGTTGGTATGACTGGTAGTGACATCTGTGCGAAATGTCATAACAAAATACTCATTAGTGTTTAGTATAGGTTTGTCTTCTTTGAAGTACATAAAGTGCATTCGGCGATTTTTACGATGAGTGAAGTTATTCAACAAAAAAGTTCTATTAAATTTTGTGTGCGGAATCAAATTCCTGTTGCCGAACCGTTCAGAATGTACGAAAAGGCCTTCGGTGATAATTGTATATCAAATTAATCAATGAGGTTAAGAACTGATGACCAACACGTCTAAAAAATACAGGAATTGGTGCTTGAGAATCGCAGATGAACAATCAGAGATCTTATCGATATCGTTGGTATAACCGAAGGTTCAGTGAAAACCATTTGGGCCTAAGAAAATTGAAAGCACGATTCACTTCATGTTTTCGAAAAACGGCATCGTATTAATGTGTGTGAAACAATGTTTTCCGACTACGAGGATGTCATGAAACATATTATTACTGGCGATGAGTCTTGGATCTATGAATACAACCTTGAAACAGACGATCAATTGTCAGAGCTTGTCAAAAATCAAGGTTTTGTTGACGGTTTTCTTGGATCGTAAAAAGAGGCCAGAATTATGGGCGTACACTATTGGTTTGATGGTCACAGATTTTTATGACTAAATTAAGAAATTAAAAATTATGAACAAAATCTTAATATTTTTTGTTCTTAGTAGAATAATATAACACAAGCTTTGAAAATAACTATTTTATAAAAAAAATAATACATGTAAAGTTATCTATATTTATTTTAGTAATATAATAGCAAGCAAAATATTTCAATATTTATTACACGTTATTTATTTAAGTGATATACAAGTTGTTGTTAATACATTCAATAATCATTATTTCACATTAACACATATTTATTATGCAATTTCAACAACTCACCTATACTTTGCGGGGCAACGAGATGCACAAAGCCGGCTGAGAAGAGTATCAAACAGACCGGCAATGAGACCCACGCGAAATACTGTGTGATCGGCTGGGAGGTGAGATCGCGATAGAGCCACACGCGCGCTAAGCAATTACAAAACAATTGTTGTTAATGGAAAATACTATGATAATCTCAAAAAATGAATTAGAAGACCAACCAACCATTTGTACAAACATTGATGCCTTTGTCTACCACATATGATACGAATGCCATTATGACACCCAGCAGCGCTAAGAATACCCAATCTTCGCCGAGGCGCGCAAATGTACGTTTCCATATCCATGATGAGACTTTTAGCATGCGCGACGAACGTTTGCCCAGCAATTCCTGTAAATATTTCCCAGCACTGCTGCTTTATAAACGATTCGTTCAAATTTGGATAAACACATACAAATACTAGTGACTACATAAGGGTTAAAGCGAGTGTGCTGTAAGCGCCTATGCTTAGACAGCATAATTTATAATGGATTTGTTGCGACCATGTTTGTATATGTGTGTATGCGAGATTAAATAAATATGTACAGAGCGTGCTAGACTTTATGCGGATAAGTTAAGTAAATATTTAAATAAATACAAACCAAAAAAATTTGTTTTTGGTAAGAAAAAATGTATTTTTAGCAATAAAGTTATAAGAAAGAGTCATTAGCTAGATAAAAAGTACAATAGATGCAAAAATATAATACAGTATAAAGGGATAATATACGATCGTAGCAGAAAATGGAATTCCAATTTTCCAAAATAAAAAAAAAAAATGGGTATATGGAAAATGTGCTTAAAATTTCAAAGCAAAGTTTAAAGCCAAACATTTATATTTTGATAAGCAAATGTTAAACGAACACACAGAGTGCTTCTGTAATCAACATTGTACATTTAAACTCAATGATTAGCAACTCTAGCCTTCGGATCAATGTCGATGAAACACAAAAGGACAAGTGAACTCGACTGTAATCGATCCAAAGTCCAATTTACTCAATTATCGCTTAAAGTAATGCATAGGAGAGAAACACATCAAGTCTGGTAACTACTACTTCTCAATTGAAACGAACTTAATATTGAGATATTGAGCATGATGTCCCATGTAATAGGTAATGGTTGCGTGATATGCTTCTTCGAGGTTTTTAGTCAGATCATGATTGACTTTCTACGACAGACAAGACATTTACTATATTCTTGACGGCGGAAAGTAACAGATTTTTTGCCATCAGCACTCAAAAAAAAAAAAAATAATAATAATGACAGCGGAACACAATAGCCGTAATTTATATTTCTACCATGGAACTCATAAAATAGCAAAAATTGTAATTAAGACATTAATTTTCAACAACATTACCTTAAAATATCAAATTCCCGTAAAGTTATTCTCATTCAGTTGTAATTATTTTGCACTCAATTATTGCGTAAGAAGTGTTTTAAAAATATTTTATGGCATGCAATTAAGGCATTTAAGTGTAATAAGAAAAAATTATTTGAGCGTGAAAGATTTTCTTGTTTGTTTACCTTGTTCCTTTGTTTGTCTTCTTGCTTGCGGCGCTTCTCGAGTAATTTGAGTTTTCTGGCTTCATCTTTGGCAAATTCTCCTAAATCTTTGGTATAGCGGCCATACATCTGTATTCAGAAAATTTAAAATTATTTAATTTTTTTTTGTAATATTTAATTGAATATTAATATACATACAATGCTTATCTATTTTGAAATATTAGATTGATTAAAAATAAAGTAAACTCATTAAATATACTGTGAAACTAAAAAGTAAGTCTTTTTCTGTGTTTTCTGTGCCAGTGATGTCTGTGTCAAATGTCTTATCGAAATGTATTATCAAAATTAGTATACCCTTTACTTTCTGATGTCCATAAAGTGCATTAGCGATTTTTACGATGAATGAAATTATTTAACAAAGAAGTTTCATTGAATTTTGTGTGCGGAATCAAATTTCTGGTGCCATATTGTTCAGAATGTTGGAAAAGGGCTTCGGTGATAATTGTTTGTAGTGAGAAAGTGTTTTTGATTGCTACAAATTATTCAGAGAGGGTCAAGAACGCGTTGACGACGAGATCAACACGTCAATAAAATAAAGAAATTGGTTCTTGAGAATTTATGATTCATAGTCAGAGATCTTCCATTTTGAAAGATCAGTTGGGCCTAAGAAAAGTAATACCACAATTGGATCCAATATCACTACATTTTTTTGAAAAACAGCGTTATGTTAATGGCTGTGAAACAACACTTTCCGACAACCGCGATGTCATGAAACGTGTTATAACTGGGGATGAGTCTCGGATTTATGCTTACAACCCCAAACCAATTAATCGACCAAATTCGAAAAGAAAACACGTGAAAGCAGGTCAATGCACAAGATTATGTTGAAAGTTATCTTCGATTATAGAGGTGCGCTTCGAATTCATTTCGGCCGAATTATGGGCCAACAACTTTTCGTCCACAATAATATACCGTCGCTTACTAACTGATTTATCGTGAGCTTTTCGCCATTATCGTGGCGCAACCACCGTATTCGCCTATTTCAGCATCGTGTGACTTCTGGCTATTCAGAATACTCTAACGCTCGCTTCGGGGAACCCTTTTGAGACAATTAAAAACATTAAACGCGCATTAAAGGCTATTAAACAAGTTGACTCTATTTCGAGGATTGGGTTGTCCCCCGTTGGCACAAGTGCAAATTATATTAATAAATCTAGTATATATGTAGCTAATGAAAATTAAAAGAAAAATATGCTCTCATGTCGAACAATAACTATATAATACGTTAATAGGGCCTAATTTAAATATATAAATCACAGCAAAGCAATTTAAGTTTAATTTAGGTATACATATTTTCTATACAAACTTGATAAATATATAAGTCTTTGCTTTTAAAGTAAGTAAGTAAGTTTCTTTTGACCTTTCGAGTAAATCGTTGTTAATCGCTAATTGAATCAACTTTAAGTGTATGTGAATATGATAATAGCGATATTGATAGAATCGAGCCAAAAATCAATCTCATGGCTAAGTCTAGGATAGGTGCTATGTACTCTATTGATTTTCCACAGTGGGCATTGATCAACTTAGCTGACCATATTACGAAAAGTTACAAGCCTTAATAACGACAACAAAATTTGAGAAATAAAACCAAAAGTCTAAGTGAATTTCCCGTTTTATTTTACGTATGTGTCTTGGCTTATTCTAATGAAAGGAGAGACATTTATGAGATGTTTATTACATAAAATATATGAGCCTAGATGTCTTGAAGAACTTGCAAACAAATATAGTTTTCATAAATGCATAACATTGCGTAAATGCATTCCCAACGTGTGTAAATAATTGATTTTCAACAATCTTATGAAAAATATAGTATTTTATAGGTATAAAAAAAATACAAAATATTTTCTCGTTTCCCAGCCTGATACAAAAATAAAAGAAATACAAATTTCTCAAAATTATTTGTTTGCTCTACGTATGACTGTCTAAAGTTGCTCATGGTGCGGCCGTTTTTAAGTATCCGTCACACATTTGTCTGCCTCACTTGAAGGCTGCGTTTTTGCTTTGTCACTCAAATAGGCGCGAGCACACTGATGCCATTTGCTCTTTATCTCTCTTGTGTGTCTTGTTTGTCTCATTTGTTTTTACTTCAAAAATATTATTTACCGCTAGCTAGACTTACTGCTAGACGAAAATCTATTTTTACCAAGCGTGCACAAAATATTGGCAACACTTCGTATTTATTTTGTTTCATTGGCGACGATGAAAAAGAAAACAAAACAGAAAATATAATAAAAATAATAAAACAAAATAAGAAAAACAAAGTCAAGTACAAAATATTATTGCTAAAAATACAAATATGTGTACAGTGGCGCGCAAATAAATATTACTTGTACGTTATTTGTAGAAAATTAATTCATTACAACCTGTAACATAGCAAATAATATTTATGCCTTAAAATAAAGATAGATGTAACATAGCAAATAATATTTATGGCTTAAAATAAAGATAAATATTTTTGCAAACCTTACACTGTGTGCTTATCTTAAATAATATTTATTTGGGCGTTTAGTAAAAAATATGCACAAATCGTGTTTATGCTTTAAAGGTTACTCATACGCCCCAACCAGCCTCATGCCAGTTAACTAAGTTAAACTCATTTAAAGGTTTTTGTTTGGTATATGTTAAAGATCAAAAATTTATAAATACAATTTTTAGCTTTCACACGTATATTTGCGTGAGAAATGGCTTCAAAAAAATTCTCTAAAAACATTATAATTTTAAAAATAAATTTTCAATCGGTTTTTTTTTAATTTTCGTTCATTTATAAATGATTTTTAAAATAATTATAAAACGTAATTTTTTGCATAAGAAATGAAAAATTNAGAAATGAAAAATTTAATTTTTTATTTTAAATTTCAATTTCATTTTTTTTCGTTTTCGTTCAATTATAATGAATTTTTAAAGTAATTATAAAACACATTTTTTTTAACTTTTTTCACGAACTAAATAATACATTTTTTACTATTTTTTATTTATTAATAACTTTGTTTGTGGCTTAGTCAGCAGACAAAAAATAAAAGTAATTTAAAGTAACAGTGAATAATTTATAAATTTTTTTGGGAATTTGTTTAGGTTATTTTATTCAATAATATTAAGTTTTGTATATTTTGCCTCTGAACTATTATATTCCAATAAATAAAAACTAAAGTTGTTTTAAAAGAATTTTCATACAAATTTTATTATAATTTTAGTATTCTAAAAATAAAGCATTTTTTTGCTTTACTTTAACATTTTCCTTAATAAAACTAAGGAACTCAAACGAGAAACCGCATTTTATGGAGCTACAAGTTTACAAAAGTAAACAACAAACAACACATAACATAATTAAAACGGTAATTAGCAAATTTACAAATGCGGCCGATAAGTGTAACTATTGGCACAGCCATTAAGCAGCCGCTTCAACCCTCCACCTGTGCTACAGTAGTGCAATAATAAAAACAAATAACTCAATGCGTTGCCGCCATAATCACAGTGAAGCGTTGAAAAAAGCTGCATTAAAGGGGGGGCATAAATAATTTCTCGTAAAATGAAATTAGCTGAATTGGCAATTAAATATAGATAGTGTATTTGTAAGAGACTGTGAAGTGGCGGATAAGTGTGTGGTGAGTGCAATTAAGTGTGCGGCACGTAGCGCAAACGAAACTTTGTATTTGGCTTTAATAATGCTGTGAGCGCTAGAAAGGCGTTGGGGAATCGGTTGTTTATAAAGCACAGCCGCTGAATAGGCAAGGAAGTACGTAAAAATCGATATATAAAGAAATGTATATTATATTATTTACAAAAGTTTGTTGGCGATGATTGAGTAAAAACTATTTAACTATGTAAACTTGTAATAAATAAAAGTTGAGTAATTAAATCAAGATAAAATTAATAAATCAAAATAAAAGATATACTGAAATATAAACCTATATAATAAAATAATAWTTAAATAAATTATACTAAAATAATATGTTAAAAAAACGAGTTTCTTACTAATTTCACAGAAATGTTATATACTACACTTCGAAAAATTGCTGATATCATTATAATCGAGTCACTAAGAAATTTGCTAGTAATTATAAAACTATTCGCGCTCCCCAATAAATGTAAATTTCATTATTAACTTTTCGCTTTTAGCTAATTTATACATGTAAATATGTACGTAGCATTTAACAACAATGCATGTAATTAAATAGAATTGCACAATGCATTCAATATTTGAGCAGCTGAGTATGCATGGAGACATTCACTATAGAAAATTAATGGGAATTAATAAATATTTTCAAAACCAAATTTTGTCAGGAACACCAAATGGAAAAATAATATTTAAATATATCTGTAGAATCGAATTCTATGTCTTTAAGAACTCTTTTAATACATGAATGCATGCATGAGTTGTTTAAAAAAAAAGGGAATATGAACTGATTTTAAAATAGTGTTGCCTTCTTGACAGTCTCCGAACACCTTTAATTTCAAATTATGCTGAGTTAAACCTGTCAGCTTTAGGAAAAAGTTACACTTAAAAGCAAGAATTTGATTTGTAAATATTTTAAATTTACTACCCAATTTGAAAAACAAAGAATGCGACATATGCACTAGCAATAAAAAAGAAATAATAATAATGGAACGGTAATATATAAAATATTTTTTATTTGTAATGCATTTTATTAGCACTGGCCTAATTTATTTGCGTTGAAATTTGTACATGAAGTGGTTACGTATACGCCATAGTGCTTCAATATACATGTAATGGTAAATGACCAAATTTATGTTTATAATCGTAAGCAATTGCTAAAAACAAAATAGAAAACGTGTAAGAAACTTATTCATTAGCTAATAAGTGTACCACAATTTCACTGAAGACATATATTTAACTGTGTTCTTTTAAAATTTTTTAAATTTGTTCAGCTTACTAATGTTAAACAAGTTAAAAAATACATACCGAATACATATAGACTCATAAATATATAAATGGCGGGTATTTTGCTTTTAGCATATTCTACAGCATTATTGCCATTAATCGCCACTCAAATCGGAAATTACGCATTTTTATGTGAATTTATAAGCGATTTGCTTCGAGAATTGGCTTG